TAAATTTAATAATAAAACATGGCTTTGTACTTTAACAGTCCGGCTTGTTGAATCTCCATCGTAGATATTGTTCATTGTTAATACTCGTCGTCATTTTCATGATCATGACCATCAATATGTTGTTGATGTTGTTGCTTAGGTTGTTTTTACATCTATATTCTGTTGTTTTTTTTTGGAACGCATGGCGTAGCCGGTTGTTGTTATTGTTGAAATAGATAAAACAAGATGCGAGATTTCTTGTTGGGTCGACGCTGATGCCCTCGGTTAATCAACAGCCGATAGGGGTGCGTCATCATTCAGTTGCGCAGCGCCACGAACTAGTAGTACTGACGCCGATGCTCAAATCGTGCGTCTCTTTCATTAACGTTGTGTTTCTACACTGTAGTAGATGTTGACGATCGTACGGTTGTATTAGCGATCCGCGCGTCGCGTCATCTGAGCCTTCTTTTTTTCTGATGCGCGCCTCCTCTACCCTAACTTTTCTCTCACTCCTGCTAAACTTCGTCACTCTTTTTAATATTAGATTATCGTCCATTCGACCAGACGACAGAATTAAGAATAGGTTTGTTTTATTTTACTTGTTATTGTTGATGTCATAGTAGCACACGCATTGTTATTGTTATTGTGCATGATAATGGCGCTACTTCGCCGTGTTGTTTCGAACACAGCATTTGCGAGAGAGACAGAGAGAGAGAGAGAAAGAGAGAGAGAGAGGGGGGGAAAGTGGGTGAAGAAAGTCGTATGCATCGAGCCGAGTTTCGCGGCGCTGTGCAGTACATTTCCATTTTGCGGTAAGTACCTCAAACGATGGCTGTGCTTCGTTTTTTTGTTCAAAGTTAGTGTTAGAATTGCTTGTGTAACTTGACATCTTTTTCTTCGATGAGGATGATACCACTGGTGATCGTGGTCGGCAGTAGCTATTACTTTAGTTTACAAGTAATCTGCACGTCATTTGGTTAAGTTCTGCGCTGTTATAATCGCTTCGATTGAAGTGCGATGGGTCTGCTTCGTATGCGTGCACTTACTTCATCTGTGTGACCACTTGCGAGGTTTCATTATCTCTTTGATGTCACTTGTTTGTGCTTATTGTTTCTATAAGTGCTTTTCTGTGGTTTCTCCATATTAATTGGTAGTAATGTGATGGGGACTCTTTCATGTGATATATCTACCGTTGATGTCGATGTTGCGTTGCCCGTTGTCAGAGGTATTTGTCCTAAAGAATTTCGTTTGTTTATTGTGCGCTTGATCACAGTTTTATTATCCGCAATCGCACACATATGATAAATAATAAAACGTTACAGTAAACGTTGGTGAGAAGAATAAACAAAAAGAGGTGACATTAGTTCTTTATCCGTATGAAATACATTTATCACTACCATATATTTGTTATGTATATCACTATAAAACGTTTGCATGAACTCCAAAAATCAGCGTATAATAAGCGTCATCTACTAAGAGCTCACTGCAATGCGACAGCCCCTACATAATTTTATTATTCTAGTAAGATAAGTTGACGAATCTCTTAGGTCTGGTGGAAAGCCACGAAAATGGCCATACAGCATAAGTTATTGTTGCCTTTTGAACCAAGTTAGTCATGCTCTCCAGCCATGATTCCGTACGTCAGACTTCACAGAACAGATTAGCAATGCAAGAATAATTATTACCCCTATAAAGCGGTCGAGCTACGATCGGTTGAGCGTTGGAATCCGTTAAATAAGAAAAAAACGTTACAGCCGAAAGCAGTATATCAGGGTGCTAGGTTAACGGGTCTTATAAAGCAGGCAGGAAGAAAAAACTAGTCAGTTTTTTGTTATTGTTATTTTTTTCCTATGGATATATGAAGGTGTAATACTGGCGATTATAGCCGGCGCTTAATAACCCATACCAACATCTTGTAATGGAGGTATTCGTCTTGTGTATTTATTTCTAAAGGCTTTTGTTCATTCATTATTCTTATCATTTTAAGGGCATCAATATGGAAATGGGTGTTAAATACAAACATATCCAAATCTACCCACACAAATTGTTTATAAACAACAGAGGAAAACAAAAGACAGGCATTAGTTTACAAATAATATAGAGAGGCAGTCAACTGTAAATTAGTATCTATGGGATTTATTTTTTTGTTCGTTACATTTCATCATTTTTAGAAATACTGGCTGTCCTTATAAATTCATTTTAGCATCAGCTATTCTAACGCAATTTTCTATGCCCACTTGCTCAGTGATGACGTTTCAATAAGGAGGGCCTCGTGGAACGTGCATTCCGGGGATGGCAACTAAATAAGAGTTGTTATAGGAATACAGAGTTCGCAGTTCTTTTAAATCTTATCCTATTTAAATCGGTATAGGAGGTCGAGGGGGTGGGGTGGGAGGGGCTGTTGCGTCACTTAGAGCAGTTCGCCTGTTTCGCTGTCATCGTCGCGTGCGCAGCAATAGCAGCATTCAGCACATGAGCACGTTTGACTGCCGCCACCGCTAGTGTTCCGACAGGCCGAATAGGTTAACCGAACAAGGCATGATTCGATACGTTGGGCTGAGGGCAGGCAGAGACAGGGGCACCGTGGAGGGCATATCAGAAATAGAATGTTAGCACCCAGCCCACGTCCTTTCCTGCATTGATGCGCATGCGGCCCCTCGCACGGGTCCTGCCGCACTAACGGCGATGGCTCTCCAATCGAGCCGTCTAGGCCTGCGGACTCTGTCCTTGTTGTCGTGCTGTAATCATGCGAATGCAATAGCTGTTGCGTCTGCGATGAAATTGTTTGCGACATGGACGAACAAGAGCACCATGAACGCCTCTTTTCCTGTTGCTGCTGTTGTCGTTTCTGTCTGTGATCCGTTACTTTTGTGTCGGTTTTTTTCGCTATTTGCGCCTCTGCGTGTGCACATAATGATGATGATTCGGATGTTGTTGTTGGACCATACTGTTGTTGTTGTTTTGACTGCTTTCTGGCATCGTCTTTGGCCGTGGTAATAGTAGAAATTGAACAACAATGCTGATGGTAAGAACTATCAATATCTGTATCCGTATATATAGTAGCAGTATTAATTGTAGTACTTGTGTAGGGCTTGGAAGAGCTGGTGGTGATCAGCAGTGCTCGGCTGCACGAGTGGTACCAACGCAGTCAGTCTGTTGTCGATTGATCCAAGTTTGAGGATTTCTCTGATACGCCTGACGCGGCCGAGGTGAGCATCGGTTCCGTGTTGCGACGTTTCATTTTCGACTTTCGCAGCATCGTAGCCTATAGATGTGTGGATGTAAATATCGTGTGTTGAATGATAGGTTTGGTTGATGGGCCGGTCGAATAAAGGCCAATTCAGTGTGTTAGGCGGGTGATTCGATGATAACAGTTCGGTTAGCCGAGATTTATTTGTTGGTCGATCCAATCGAAGGGTCGGTTTCGACCGACCGATCGATGTGTCCAAGCGGTCATCACGTGGCCGAGATGAAGGTTTCGTTATCATGTCGAGCAGAACAGGGCGTATGGTGGCAGCGACATGCAGTAGGTGAAACAGACGGACAAAGAGAGACAAAATAATACAAAGGCGTCTTGCTGTTAGTAAACTCACCTATTCTTATTTAGTCTCATAACACGTCACTACAATTAAGCGTCATTCGTCATCAGCACTAACACTAATTATCATGATGTCCATATTGCCACTCGTACCACGTCCATTACAATGGCAATTACTATTGCTAATCTATTGTAACGGCAGACAGAAGTCATTAATAATAACAACAATCTGCTCTTATCTAGTGCAAGCAAATCCATCGTAACCCATAACGGTGTTTTCCTGTCTTTTTTTTACCATTGCCACTAAGAAGCGGTGAGAATCGTTGTTCGATTAAAATTCCTTGTGCGCGTTACTATTTCCGCTTCCGTTAGAAAACGGGAGCTCTAACTATGTCAATGCAATTTCGTAGGCTACAGTAGGTAAATATTCGATACGGTTCTTCCCAAATCGATTACGAATGATAGCCAAGAGCATAATGTTCCCTATATATTGAATCAATGGTAGGCGATATCCAGTTAACCTAGTGATATCCTGTGAATTGCCATTGTCATAAAACCCGCAATTTAATTTTTGGTCCCTCTCTGTTTTTTCAATTCATCGTTGTCTCAAGTGGCAATAAACCTACATATATTTTTATTTAATTGAGTAAGCACGTGTGGATATTGTATCAGCTGCGATCAAATCAGCCGTTTTAAGAAGAAGCAAAAGTCAGTTAGTTCCTAATCGTGTATCTGACGATACCTACAACTGATATATCTAACAACAATGATATGCGTATGCATGACATTCATATAGTGACCATGATCTCTACGGAAAGACCACGCCGAGTTCACTATTATTAATGTGGCTATTGGGACTAAATTGGGTTCCCATCACCTAAGTTTTTTGTCTCCGCAATATTGATTGGTCGTGAAGCATACATATGAACGCACGTACCTTCAAAGCAGATCGCAAGACCACGACTTCTCCCGGCGGCTGTATCCAGGGCTCCCCGTCAACCTGCACTGGCATCTCGGTGTTCATTCGGATACGCAGATGACCGCCCTGGGCGATCCGGATCGCGCTCCGCATGCCGCCTTGTATCTGGCCCATGTGCACGACTCCGGTAACTCCAACCACTTCCAACATGCCGTCGTAGTGCGTCGGTTTTGAAAATGCGTCGTCGCGTTCCGGACCCCACGGATTGGCACCAGAACCCCAACTCAGGATGTTCAAAATAATAATACCTGTACACAGTAGCGAGTCGATGTCAAATAATCCAACAAAAGAAAAGTGAGCACGGCATCGCAATGGAAAAGAGATCGATTACTTGTTATACGACAAATGATGGTAACGATATAGGTGCCATGAGGGTATTAAGGACGTGAGGGAGACACAACTCCCGCAGACTATATAAGTCTATGTTGGAGCGGCAAGCTTCGCCGTCTTAATATTCGTCGCAATTGTTAAGCCTAAGCCGGTTGGTTGCAATTTATTTCTTTCGAGACCTGACCTTGCTCAACTTAGCCAAGTTTATCGCTTGTCGTAGCTATAATCCGTAATTAGGGAGTAATCACTTGCACACTTTAAAAAGACCAACGCATTGCTGTTGCCGCCATTCTTCTAATTCTTACTTTAGGGTCTACCGAATCATGCAGTCACCAACGCCACTACTTCCACTGCGGGAAGGCATGAACCTCTCGTGGGTATCTCGTAGGCATTCAGCAAAAAGCTTCGGTGGCACTTTCACAACAGATGCAACTAATACGACACGGAACTAAATGACCGCTACCGCTGACACTAATGCTGTTCTTAACCATTGTGGCCCCATACATGGATAAGAGTATTAATATATGCCCGAGTGACTCGAACGTACAGTGCCGTATGGCTAGGTGTCAAATGAAGAGCACAATGGGCGTATAGGGATAGTGGAAACGTAATAAGGATGGGAACAAGGCGCGAAGCTCACGAGCTGATCTCATTGTTATGAGTAACCTACTTACCTTCAACAGGTGGCAACTCAACGGTTTTACCATCAACTTCGAGTTTCACTTCTCGATGCAGGTCTCGCCACGTTTTCCGAGAGACCATTTTTCGCAAGCCCATTTTGACGTATACGCCCTTATTATGTAAGCGGCTATTGAACTTGTTAGGATTTTCTTCGCGGGCGTTGTGAAAGTCGAGGCAGAGGTCAGCATCAATACCAATGCCGAAATAGTTGTTCATGACAAATATGGCGGTGTTATCTTCCGACGTCGAGTTGGATGTACCTTGTTTGCTTTCATCTTTCTCGTCCGTATGGAATACGACTGTCCACCGGTCGAGACGAATCTCCTCGGCGTCAATGACGTCCCGCAGTAATGACATCGGATCCCCACCGCCAGTGTATCCTGGTCCCCAACGAAGTACACGCGCTAAGTCATTTCCAGTGCCGAGCGGCACGATGGCACATGGCGGCGATTGACACTCTGAATCCTGTCCCACGTTGTCGAGACACTGGAGTACCCAGCCAACAGTGCCGTCGCCCCCACACACGAGGATCTTGTAGTCGCGCACGTGCCGAAATACGTATAGACCCGGTAGGGGCCCGCTGTTTTCTAGGTCATAGACCTGATACGGGTTTAGCATTTTACGGAATGATGTGATTAGCTCCAAACCCTGGCACCCTCCGGACTTAACGTTAACAAATACCAAGAGGGGCCGGACACCTTCGGGGATGTTGTCAGGTATCAGGTTGGGCAGTAGAAGCACTAACAGGTTTTTCTCTTCATACGTAGTCTCTCGCAGCATATAAAATGCCTTGACGGCAATATCCGCGTTGTCGTAGGTCACCACCAACGATCCATATTCATAGTAGATCGGACCGATTTGCTTAAATTTGTACGCTGAAAAACATATATCACAGACAAGTTAAGGTATTGTACAGAGTCAAAGGTATGTCGCTGTTAACTTCAACAATGTTGGAAATAGGCAGTAGAATTTGTACGAGATAACAGATAAGAAAACAATCTAACCTGTGTATTAATTGGGCATTATTGCTATTATGGGTTTCACAGGAATGATACGAGATCTGACTAATAGATTTTGATATTTCATTACCTGTTGTTTAGAACGCCAACTAATGAAGGACAAAGATCCAATGATCATTTATTTATTTTAGTAGCTCACAGCTGTGGATCTGGGTTTTTCACTAGGGTTTTTTTTCATCTTATTCATGGAACTTACGTTTTCCTAGAAGGTCGAGAAGGATCTTCTCGTACTGTCTTTGCGATAAGTTTGGTGGAAGGTTTCCTATGAAGAGGGCCACTGTTGCACTATAGCAGTCTTCCTTCTGCTGCAGATAGAAACGGGTGAGGTCCTTTTGTCGAATAGATTCCTGTAACGCACGTTACATGTCAGACACATTGTTACTTTATGACATCGGATACATTCGAGGTAAATAACGCATTTTACACGTATTCCTTTTAATGGGAAGAAAACGTCTATAACGAGGATCATTTCACATCTATGGTACAATTTGCGGTCATGTTGCGGACCACCTGCTTCAAATGAGTTCGTAATCCGTGATAACCAGCTGGATTTAGTTTAAGATCGTCATCTCTGATTCTCGAACTCACCCTGGCGATGCCTCTTAGTAGCTCCCAGGGGCATTCTTGATTATCCATCACCCGCTCATGCACCGACCCTTTGTCAAGCGTCACCTCGGATAGACGGAACTTGTTAATGTCGGACGCATCTAGGCCGAATTTATCCAATGCCGAGACCATGATTTCCTCGACAGATGTGTCACTCGTTACCGGGATCATGCGAAAAATGTCAGCCGACCGTAATTTTCCCGGGAATACCTGCTCAAACAAGTTAGCCATACAGAGGCAGGATGCGTGCATTAACTACCGACAAAACAGCACTAGATTGCACTATGAACGCCAAAAGAGTGAGACAGGGCACTAAGATACGCTGTAATTCAAGTTGTGCGTACCAGTACGTACATCATTGAATGTATGCCGTTACTATTATCACTTTGACGGGACAATGTACAACAGACAGTGAAATCGAACCATCGGACGAGACACATGAAAGAAGAGTATAATTCAGTCGATTCCAAATCGGAAAGAAAAAAGCATATGGTTAGGATAATTGAAACTACTACTTAGTACGAATACAAATGCTGGAGACTAGTACCTTAACAAAGCCTTGATCTGGGTTGGGCGGCTTGTACCGCAAAAAGATGGCTGGACGTTTGCCTTCGCGCCGCGTCAAGCTCTGTACGGGCATGAAGTCGGCAAGCTCCTTTTCGGCGGGATCGAACACGTCGGTGATAACGTAGTGCTTTGGATCACCCGACACATGGAAAGCGCGAAGCGCTGCGGCGATGATCGCCTCTCGCGACGCACTGCGCGCCACCGTGATTGTCCTGAACATCCGCCGTTTCATCGACGCATTGCCTATACAGAATCACAGACGAACACCCAGCAAATGTCTGTCATTAGCGATATGCTAGCCATGTGACAAATACATGAAAAGCATTAAAAGTTGTAGTTAAACAAAAGCTTGTAGTCGACCGTATCAAAATTTTCGATTCGATGTATAAACTATAGGGAGGTAATGATGAAAAGCGATAGGCAAGCACAAACGTTTGTCAGAAAAAAGATTTATTCTATCAAGTCTGTAAATGACTCGCGTTGTCGTGCGGTACTACATTAGCATCGTTTCGGAGTTTGCCATCAGGTATGCCGGCGAAACATCATTGCCGCTTACCATCGTATACTTTGATAACTTCTTCATCTTTATCCTTCTCTTTAGGCGAGGGATAGTCATCCTGCATATCCTTGGTACGTGTAGCCCGTTCGCTCTGGCTGGTCAGTTCGCCGGCGGTGGATGAGAACTCCTCCGATATGCTGCGTGCTATACTTGGGTATGTGTTACGAGCCATGGTTTGCTCGCGACCTTTCATTTCCATCCCTGAAATCGAGCAAAACAGAAACACTGTTCTAGCGAAGTTTCGGAAGTATAGCCCGTCAACCACGATCTCGTCTTATCTCGATCAGCAATCTCACATGCGCCGTTGTCTACGTAATTCTGCCACTGCTAGAATACGTACCGATGATGGTTTCTAGCGGGACGTCTGTACGAGGAATAGACACGGCGGCTGGCGGAAGCATAATAGATTCGAGTACACCGAAGTTGCACTCGGATGGGACGAGCTTATAGCAAGTCGCATGCGCCGCTATGCCACACCATTCGCATCGCATGCCGGCTAGACATTCGGCCGACCAACACGCCTTCTTGCACGTCTGGCATTTGGAGTTGGCAGGAAGGTTTCCTATAATAACAAATACACACGTTAGCGCAGCTGTAATAAGGTACCCTATTTCATGTCCACTTAGGCTCAAGTTACAGTGAAGCTAAAAGGTACTACACAACGTATTCAAGACGTACATGTAGCTAAAATCGAACATGAGTAAGTGTCCCAACAAAAGACGTGTCTTAAAATTGTTATCCAGTAGAATAAAGGCGAACGCTCAAAGCTCTAATCAACGTTCGATCTATTAATCGAACACTATACACTTTGAAGTTCATCCTCAACGCGCAAGATTTAGAGTATAGGAAGGGTTGAAACCACACCAACGATATTCGACTCTGCGTGTACGACGAAACATAGAAATAGACAAAAATCTACCTCATAGAGCGTAAAGCATACCGAAATGAAAAGTGATGTCATAAACCGTTTCTTACCTTCTCGCCAGTGATGGTATTGGACCGGTTGTGACTGTTGTTTGCTCGTCCTACTAGCAGTATACGTCGCACACTGCTTACAATCGGCCACACTGAAGTCCTGACATTCAAGGTGAACGCAGTATTCACACACTTCGCAGCGAACCGCGCAGCTGTCTTCGATACGTTTGCGGCATACGTTACAGAACTTGCGCTTCAAATGACCCGCTTCGGTCCAGCAGTGTGGCACCGGATTCTGTAGAGTGAGATTATGTAAAGATAGAAGATCGAAGTTAGATCATACGTTCAGCAAACGACACCACAGGTAACGAACAATTTATGTAGATGCTATTTCTAACACGTTTTAATTAATCGTAATTCGGATACAATTCAGGCTCTCTCTCTCTCTCTCTCTCTCTCTCTATATATA